AAGAGGAGCCCATAGCAGACAGCATCATTTTGATCATTTTTAAGACAGAGTGATCTTAGGAACAGAGTAAACCAGAATAGTGTGCTCAGGTATGTTTCTATAAATCACAGCTACAGAATGCTTTATTCAAGAAAAATGATTAGAAGTTGCTTTTGCATTGGATTTTAAATCATGGAGATATCAAGAATCAAGATATTAGTAAGAGTTCATGTCTATTTGATCAGAGCAGCCAAAAGAGCAAATATTGCTAAACAAATTTCAGAACATAAGGTTTCACATGAAGAGAGAGGTGAGGTACTTTCCTGACAAACAACACAAAACATCCTCCCCCAGCTTTTTCTCACAACACCACCATATTGTATAAAACTCCTCACCAATTTTAAAATCAGAGAGAGTGACATGAAAAAAAATGCAGGCAACATAGCACCATTTTTCAAGCTGTTGCTTGATTTGTTAGCTGCTTTTGTTAGATCTTTTTAAAAAATTTTGTGTTCATTTTGGAGTGGTATTCATAATTTCATTCATTTTTATACTAGGCTAAATCAAGAGAAGAAAAGGATCAATTTAAAAGATGAAAAAAAATTTTAAAGTATGCATCAATTCAATTCAATAAATGTTTTTAAGCACTAAATTTTTATTAGAAAAGTTATCTGAGTTTTGGAATTCAGAACTTCGATGCTAAAAAGACAAGGTACAGTCTTTCCTCAGATTCTTCAAGATAGTTATTCATTTGTCAGCCTGTATAATGGGTCCCCCACCTAAAAGATTGAATCAGTTCAATTTGCTTAAGCAAATATTAAGTTAATTTCTTAAGGAAATAGCACTAGTCACTTTGAGGAATTTTCTCTGACCATTAGTTAAGTTTTTCACAGCAGATGTCAATATATTAGGTAGAATATATTATAATAGATTTAGAAAAACTAGATCACACATTCTTTTGAATCGCTTATCTTTGCGTTTAGGATGCAAAAGAGCATTGAGATATCTGCAGTTCACTCTGATTTTTTCAAGGCATCAGAACAACCAACACTTATACCCATCAACTGATTATCATCGCTATACTTATAAACATGATTTTAATTCCAACATGTATTATTGTGAGGCTAGAAATCAGGGCCATGTGTCTAATTTAGGGACAAAGTAGAGGCAGTAATGATACAATGTAGATAGAAGGGAGAAAAAGGAAAGGAAGAAAACAATAGCAAGAACAATGAAGGACCTAGATGGAGAGGAAAGTGTATTGAGTAAAGAATCTAAACTCAAGCAAAATGATCAAGGGAGAAATGGAACAATCAAGGCCAGTACCCAACAGACCTGGAAAAATGATGGCCCAGTAGTCAAAACTGGAACACTGCAGCATACATGTGGATGTAAACAAATACTTACAGCCCATTTGCTTGAGGCTAGGATTGGTTTTAGGGGCGTAAGAACAAATTTAAATATTCCTGACTTTGAGGAGACTGCAGAACCTGGGAAATTGGTACGCTCTGGCATTTGTGAATTTAAAGCTATATGCCATCAGAACTGTGTTTACGAATACTACTCAGAATACTTGGGTTTCTTAGATCAAACTTTAAATTCCTTTAAAAGAAAGCTAAACAACCAAACACGTGACTTGGACTGTCCACGGAAGTTACTTTACTAACTCAGTGGTTTTGAGTTCAGCAAAAGCATACTTACCTCATGCATTCTCAAAGAGGGCAATGTCTCCTTCAAAAGTTAGTTTTGGAGGGCTGAAAAAAGTCTTAATCTTTTTATGTGTAAAGCACAGATATACAGACAATACATAAACAGATATAAAGTATAACTGGTGTTAAATTTTTATGGGATAGTGCTATAGACAGAATCATTATGTTCGCCCAAAATTTGTATGTTGAAATGCCCGATCCCCAGTGGGGATGGTATTTGACAGTGGGGCCTTTGGGAGGTGATTGCATCATGAGGGTGTAGCCCTCGTGAATGGGATTACTGTTACAAAAAAGACCCTAGAGCATGCCCTGGCCCTTCTACTACATGAGGTTGAAGTCATATGTCAACCAGAAAGCAGAACTTCTCCAGGCACCAAATCTGCTTGTGTCTTGATCTTGAACTTCCAGTCTCCAGAACTGTGAGAAATAAATTTCTGTTGTTTGTAAGCTACCCAGTATATGGTATTCTGTTAGAGAAGCCCGAAAGGGAAAATACAAGTGGGGACGGTTACAAAAAGATAATGTCTGAAAAGAGTTTCTTAGGGGGCTGGCCAGGTGGTACAGCAGTTAAGTGCACACATTCTGCTTTGGCGGCCTGGGGTTTGCTGGTTCGGATCCCAGGTGTGGACATGGCACCACTTGGCAGGCCATGCTGTGGTAGCCATCCCACACATAAGGTAGAGGAAGATGGGCACGGATGTTAGCTCAGGGCCAGTCTTTCTCAGCAAAAAGAGGAAGATTGGCAGCAGATGTTAGATCAAAGGCTAATCTTCCTCACAAAAAAAAAGAAAGAAAAAAAGCTTCTTAGGGGCCAGCTCTGCGGCCAAGCGGTTAAGTTCATGCACTCCATTTCGGTGGCCCAGGGTTTTGCCAGTTTGGATCTTGGGCGAGGACCTAGCACTGCTCATCAATCCTTGCGGAGGTGGCATTCCACATAGCACAACCAGAAGGACCTACAACTAGAATATACAACCATGTACTGGGGAGCTTTGGGGAGAAGAAGAAGAAGGAAAAAGAAAGAGGATTGGCAACAGATGTTAGCACAGGTGCCAATCTTAAAAAAAAAAAGCTCCTAATAAGGGTAAGACACTAACATATGAATTAATTTGTAGGGTTATATACTTATCAATAAATTAAATAAGGTCATATAATAAATAAGTACATATCAGTATACACCAAATTGGTAGCTTTAAAAAGAAATTAAAAGCTAATAATAGACTAGTCAAATATCTTTTCGTTAAATTATGTGTTTAGAACTATAATTACCTAACAAAAATCCCGCTATTGATAAAGAATTATTTGCATTTTACATACCTTAATATCAGCTTAAGTAAGCACTATTTTCTCTTTACTCAAAAAAACAAAGTTTTAGTATATAAATAAACTTCTCAAAAGAACTTAATATTTACTCTCTTAAGGTGAGCACCCTATTATATCTTAATTATCGCTCCTATTCACGGCTAATATATAAATGTCAGTCTCTCTTGATATAATAGCAATTTCTATGTTTCAATTAATGCGACTTTATTTTATTTGAAAGCCTTCTGTCTCACTATTTCCTTCTATTGTGTACACCTCAACTCCCTCAACTTTCTAACCTGTGCCTGATATTCCTTTTACTTAAGTTATCCTAATTTAAGCTTTCTAAGGGAAAAATATCCTTTGAAGAAAAAACGTACTAGATCAAGAAAGAGCAATATCTCAGAAAAACTAATGATTTTTCTCCTTGCTCTACCTGTCCTAGTTGGTCTTCTGTAAAGAGTAAGCAGAGGAAATAAATTTCTGTCTTGCATGCTCTAGGAGAAGATGCCTGATGACAGTTTTTGCTAAGCTTCTCTTCATTCAAAAGACTTTCTGAGCTGAATACCTTATGCAAGTTAAAACTGATTTCATCGAAGCGTGGTTCACAAAAAAGATTAAAGATCAATTGTCTTGCTAATTAAGAGTAAGAAAATCAATAAAATGATGACATTTAAATTATCTTTATTTACTAGGAGTGTCTACTCCAAATGAAGTCATTGCTCCTGTGGAATAAAATGAACTATTTTATTGAATTGCCCCTTTCTCTTATACGGAAAGAAAAAAAGAAGATAGGAAAGGAGGAAGGGAGGGCGGGAGGAAGGGAAGGTGGGAAGGAGGGAGGAAAGAGTACATTTTCTAGAATATGGTTGCAATCTGCAGATTGTGAATAGCTGTAAACTTTTCATTAAGAGGTTCCTTAAATTAAAGGACAATTTAATTAAATTCCATATTTGGAAACCAACTTTGATTCAAGCCACAAGGTCAAAGAAAGAACATTCAACTTTTTCCCTCTTACAGTGTATTCTCAAATGTGTATGTCGTCCCAACTTGGAAAATGTGACTGTTATTATTACAAAATGATTAAACAAACATGGAAGTAAATAGGAAGACTGTAGTTGAGAGAGTACTTCAATTACTGAATGTTATTGATTTATTAATTATGTTGCTCTAATTTGGAGTGGTGTGGGATTAAATTCTGAAAATTTTTTACTTCTATTTTCTCCTACCTAAAATGTTCTTCCTTAAATTAAAGCTCATAGTTCTTTAAGAGTCATCATCACAAGCTGATTTAGTTATTTTTAAACAGGAGGAAAAAAGGAAAATAACCAATTTGGGAGAATGAATTGTTTTAACACAAATCTGGGTTCTACTGAGGCTTTCCTCTCTAGTATATTAAGTTTGTTGACCACAAAATAACATAGTGACTGCTCAAATACCTAACCAAGAATTCTAGGTCATAAGTAGTTATTTTATGGAATGTGCTCCTTTATGAGATTCATTTTAGAAGTGTGTTTTGCCAAGTGCTCTGACATCCCCAAGTTCATACACATAGCAATGATTCTGAAAGGGATGGAAGAAAAAGCCAATCTAAATTTCATTTTATTTCCAAGATTCTTGTCACTTGGAAGGAAGATGGGTTGGGGGAAAGTGTGGAGAAGAAAGCAAAAATACAAAGAGAAAAAATAGCCCAGCCTTTTTTTGCCTGGAGTTCTGTGAATTCCAGGGGAGGTCAGGCCAGTCTGAGCCATGAAGGGGAAACGGATTCCTGTTTTTATAGGATATGTGCACAACTTACTACATACATATGTATGTTTTCTAAAGCTCTGCCTGCTGATCGTAGTTGACCTGACATCCTTTCTTGTATTTAACACTGTAACTACCATCTTCAAATACTTCTGTGACTTCCTGCATTTCTGTGCTTGACTTTTCTTCCTTGGCTGGCCTTGTTTCATTTGTGCTGTTATCAAAGTATGGAATGCCTACTTCTGCATCTTTCTGAAAAATTCTTACTTTTGCTAATATTGCTGGAGCTAACTTAGAGTCAGCAGCATATCAAAGGTTCTTCTTGTCTTTTAACACTCAAGTTATTCTTGGAAGGAGCAGTAGACCCAGGCTCTAGAAATAACAGAGAAAAAGGACCCTTTAATACAAATGACCAATATACATATGTAGAAATGCTCATCTTCAGCAGTAAGAAAAGAATGGAAGTTAAGATATATCAACAATTTTTTCTTTTTCTATGTGTGTGAGGAAGATTGGCCCTGAGCTAACAGCTGTTGCCAATCCTCCTCTTTTTGCTTGAGGAAGATTTTTACTGAGCTGACACCTATGCCAATCTTCCTCTATTTTATGTGGGATGCCACCACAGTGTGGCTTGATGAGCAGTGCTAGGTCCATGCCTAGGATCCAAAACTGTGAATCCCAGGCGCCAAAGTGGAGCATGCGAATTTAGCCACTATGCCACTAGGCCGGCCCCAACGATGCTCCTTTTAATGACAAGAATGGAGTACGTAAAAAGTCATCACAAAATCTCTGCATTGTAAGTGTTTACTTCTCTATCATTTTTCCTATTTTCCAAGATTTCTAAAAACAACATATGTTGCTTCAAAAACCACAAAAATAGTAAATATTATTAAATATATATAATGCAAGCCTACAGCATAAAGAAGAGTAAATAAAATAAAATATTTCATAATTCTACTTATCACTCAAAGGCATCCACTACTGATCAATTTCTATACTTTCTTCTGGTCATTTTTCTATTCCTAATCATAATTTAGAAAATATTTTTGAATTTGTGCTATAAGCTCAAACTTATATCTTTTTTTCCTAATTTAACATTATAATATGAATATCTTGCTGATACACTTTCTTCCCAGAGTATGTTATGCAAGTATTTGAACTGAACCATATGAAATAACCATTTTTCTAGATCAAAATGGTCAAATATCAGCAATTTAATATGGTTCAAATGAGTAGTTGTAACCTAATCAGAGTGGTAATGAGAGTGACAAGTAAAACAAAAACAGTATATTTTCTTTTTTATATTTACCTACAGGAACATCACACAAGATGTTTAAAACATGGAAACTTATTTAAAACAAATAGACATTTAAGTTCCCTGAGTAGATAAAATATCAAGCTGTCGAGGCCATTCCTTTCCGGAGAATTGTTGCTCTAGAGGGAACCTTGAAAGGCCTGTCATACCATAGTTGATGGGGACTTGTTCTGTGACCATCCTAGCCTAGTTCCGTGCCAAAACTGAAGTTCAAATGCTGGTCAGGGATATGGCAAAGATCCAAACTACACTGAGGATGTAGCTTTCAGTCACTGCTGGGACACTGTAATCGGGTTCAACCACAAACTGTCTACACTCTGTAAATAGACTGAATTCAGCTAATAGGCAGAGCTAACCAGAAACACAGTAAAGTACTCAGTAGTTTTTCTCTTCAGCATCACTTGAGGGGTCCCAAAATGGCCCAGTACTCAAAAATAGCTTTCCCACAGTTGTCTGAATTTGCCATTATTGTCGACTTGGTTCTTTCCGTTAAGGTTTGTACCGCCCAGACCGAGGTACTTTTAAATGCAAACATCACTGAGAGTAACAAATGAAGACACAAGCCAAGCGCTGCCCCTTTCCTTTAAAAGACGCTTACATTTCATCCAGTGATAAATCATCCACTATTAACTCTCAGAAGTCCAGAGAACACTCAAATAATAATTGGATTACATCCTAGGAAATTCTCTGGATGGAACTCATGGTATATTTTATGGAAATCTTGAATTATCCCTAACTGTGGTAATATTGGAAACTCTTATGGCAGATACCTTTAAGGGTACTTACCCAGCCCACACCTTTCCCTGTTTTAAAATTGCCCCCATACATACAGTTGGATCCTAGCCACATGTTTGCACCTCAGATTCTGCAGGTCATTCCACAGCCAGTTGAACCAATGGTAGATAATCAATGGACTTACGAAGAATCAAGTAGGATCTTTCTTCTAGGAATATGAAAATGGGACTGAATGGAGCTAGTTAGACTTTACAGATGGGAGACAATGTAAAGTCAGGAAGTGTGTCCTGACCATGATCCATTGTGCTTTGGGAGAAATAAAGACAGTCAACAAGGAGAGACATACAGAGAGAAATAGAGAGGAGAGGCTGTGTGGTTTCTTATGAATGATTAAGACAGAAGCCCCTTTGGTGGATTTCCAACTCCTGGAAATTTCTTCAGTACTTTATCAATGGTGCTTGACTGAACTTTGAGATTGTGGGTCCCATGGTACCACTGATTCCTTACAATATATTTCCCTTTAATTGTTAAACTAATTTGAGGATGTGGTTAATAACTGGAGCTACAATAGCAAAACCAGGAAAACAATACTAGCAAACATTATGGAGTACCTACAAATGTCAGGTGGTGTTTTAAGTCATTATATGATTTTCTATTTTATCTTCACAATGACCTTATGTGATAGGCCAGGATCATCTTCAAGCTCATATTTGTCATAACCAGAGTATGAGCCCAAGCAGCTGACGATGACTATCTAGTGTTTAACTACAGAGTGTATGCAGAGCTCCGTAAAGTATGGCATTAGGCCACGTGCATCAGATTCACCAAGAGTCATCGAACAAAACAAAAAAACAGCCAATTTTTTGGCCCAGACATGACTACAGAATCATAATTTCTAGAGGATAGAGATTTGTCCAGTTACTCCAGGTAATTTGAATGCACTCTTTGAGAATCACTCCTCAGTGATCTAAGCAGAAGATATGGGCTGAAAACTGCTGCTAGGGTTATGGTGACGGTATCAATAAATGTGTGCATCAGGAGAGGGTGAGGCCTAGGGAAATGCAAGAAGGCAAAGTGGATGAAGGATTTCACGTCCACTGCTATCTCTCAGATCCCTCAGCACCATTTGTCCTGCCACCACCACAGAGCCTAATTTTTTGGATTCAAAGTCTGGGCAAGAAATAGCGAATTCACCAATGGAAGAATTTTAGATTGCCCTGGGAATCAAAACCAGTTGTATAGATTTATAGTCCCAATCAGAATCACAAAAATTCAATTTTGAGAAATCTTAACCTAGAAAAACAAGAGACTTTGGAATAATGATTTTCTAAATCATAACATTTCATTCTCATGTGGACATTATGCACATTTTCCTTCTTGAGAAGAAATATATAATTGTGTTTTTCTTCTTTTTCACAACCGCAGGGATTTTTCCAACACACTATCATTTGTGCAGATGGAACCATTCCATTCTTAAAGAGCGAGAAGTCTTTCCTGTCATATTTTATTGATTCTGCTGGTCATTAAATTTGACAGACTATAAATCCCCTATTTACCATTAAACAGACTGTGACTGACAAGATAGTATTAAGCATTTCTGGTGCACAGATTGCAGTTGGGCAATCAATAGACCACCATTCTAGTAAAATTATTGCCGTAATTGAAGCTGGGATGATCATCAAGGAGAATTGTGTGTTCTCTTTATATGTGGACTTAGAAAAAAAAACCTAAAAATAAAAACTAGGACAGTTCACAGTTGCAAACGTTTTGATTAATAATAATGATAAAAAGAAGGCAGGAAATAAATGGTTGGGTTTGAGACAGAAGATGTCTTCCCTTTGGGTAGACTTTCTCAACAGTATAAGGCATGAGGAATATGGGAGGCCATCATCTAAATGTAAGCACAACCCAATCTCACGGCCAAGTGCACAAATCATCTATTAATTTAAAAAAAAATTGCATGCTGTAGTGTTTCTCGATAAATGAGTTGATTATATTTTTAGAAATCATAGAAAATATGTAGACGTTGATGTCACTGTTCTTTGGCTTTGCTAAGGATGCCTATTGTGAACAAAGTTGTTTCCTCTCTTGGCTCCAGGCACTAGACTGCTGCTTTCTCCCTCCCCACCCACCTACTCACTCCCTCCTCAACACACAAACACGCTAGATCATGAGGAAAATATGTTTGTAAAGGTTTAAATCTGCTGTCTTCACTGCTGACTAAATTAGCTTCCTCACTACATAATTTCAAAGTCCTCTGTGTTTTTCCTGCATGGCTCCTCTTATGAATATAATGAAACAATTATTTATAATTACTAACTTCACATTTGTGTCCTCTGTTTGACACAAGCTCCATGAGAGTGAGAATCTTGCTCAGTTTTTTTTTTTTTTTTTCACTTCAGCACCTATGAACCCTAGCCCTGTAAACAATGCCAGGCACTTGGGAACTGTTAAGTGTGTGTGTGTGTGTCTGTGTGTGTGTGCGCGCGTATATGTATATTTTTGAATGATCAATGCTTATCTCCCAATTAACCTTTTACCCATTGTCACTGGATGCCTTTGACTGAAAGACTATGTGGTAACCTCCTACTATTAGCTCACTTAATTTAGCTTAAGTTAAAAGATCTACAGGAGCCAGAAACCTGCTTTCTCTTCAATACACAAAAATACACAGATTTAACCCCACCCAAAAGAAGTCCGTGTTAAGCTTATTAGGACACAGCGATCTAACCCTTTCAGTCTTTGCCATCCACATCTCAGTAACCCAAGCAGTCCCAAAACCCTTGTGTTTTTTTCTTTCTCTGCTTGTTTTAAATTTTTCTTTTCTTCTGATTAAGCTATACCTCTCTCCTTAATGCGAATGTCCCAATTTTTCCGATGCAGCTTTGAGGTCTCTATTCCCCTACAGAATCACAATATCTCCAGAGCAGAGACTTTACCAGGAACCCCAGGGAACACTTACACACAGTCTTGGGCCACTACTGAATGGTCAAGCCAGAGTGTATGGAATGGGAATCAAACTTCCAATTCTAATTAGTAATTCCAATACTGATATTCTATCATGTTGGTTTCCTAGTTTATTTCATTTGTCAGTGGCCACCTGATATTGGATAACTAGGAGGATACTCTTTACAAAAGAGTTTAGCAAAGCTGTCCTTTTTATCTTTTCTTCCTCTGAAGCTTCGATTTCTGTTAAGCCATCATATCCAGCACACAGAGTACACCCTGGGATGTTCTTTAGTTAAGGACACACTTGTGAACCAGATGGCTGGATACCTGGTTTGAATTAAATGACACATCCAGACATTTCAGTGGGATTATA